TTCCCTATGATTGTCCTTCTGGGAAACGGAATGCTTCTATTAATGTGTATGGTGTCCCTGCAGATGGACAGTGTTATGAGTACAAGTGGATGGCTAGTGCTTGGAAGGGCTCTTCTCGGACAGTCTGGTGTCAAAGGTCAGACGGTGTGAATGTAACAGGTAAACCTCTTTGTTCTTTAAAAGTCTTCCTATAACATCCATGTAATTGGTTAAAGAAAATAATGAAGGAAACAAAGATGCTTCCAGTATTGAGTATGTGGTCAAGCTTTATACATGTTTCTCATGATTGATAACAAATTTTAGATTATGATGTTTCTAATTCCCCCTCTCCCAACCTCTTTTAGATATTGCTATTAGACCTTGTTTAATTAAAATACTATTTAATTCTAATAAATATTAGCAGGAAAAAATAGTTCCCAAGTTCTTTTTTTTCAAGAAATTATATATCTCACTGCATGTTTTCTTTTTTAAAAAAAATCAATGCTTTTTTGACAGTTTCCAACTCTGTGCCTTTCAGGCAGTACACATGCAGACTAAAAATGTCACCAAGGGAGTCTGACTATACAAATTCACTATCAGACTTCAATTCAGAAATTTCTGATTTAGAGTTTTTCATCAATTCACGGGGAAGAGCTATTGGTAAATCTCAATCCCAGAGCACCCAAGCTGCTCATTTACTATGTCCTCACCCTAAAATTATTTTACATCCAAAGAAGAAATCCAAAGGAAGAACTGTGTATTATTGTACTTTGCCCCAAATTTATCTCCAAAGGACTACTCTGACCTGTAGCCACTAAAAATGTGTTTACCTGAGCCCAGAAAATGTGAAGGGAAAAATCTTTGACTCCAGATATGTAGTGAATTACCCTGTAAATTTCCCAGAAAGAAAGAAAGGTCAAAATCAGAACCTCAAGCACATGGACCCAAAAATCTAATGTTTCTCCTTAAACTTTTGTCTGGATCTAATTTATGGGAATTTCCACAGCATAACATCAGCAGGAGTATTAACAGTTAACTGTCAGGCCTGTTGACTTGCTGTTGTTTTGACCTTTCTGAAGAAAGAAAAAGGAATATGTATTTGGATGCCTCTGAGTAATGTCCATTTATAAATTTAACTGTAATACATACCGTAAGATAACAGGAGCAGAGATCAATATGCTTTTTGAAAAGCATCAATTTTTATATTGAATTTTAAATTACCTGGATGCATTGAAATCTAATTACTTATTTCCTCTATATAAAATCTGGAACAGGATGTTAAATTGTATTCTTGTGAAGATATAATTTTACATGAGAAACCTGTACCAAGAAACCCTTCATGACAGCATCTCCCATTGGACTACATATAGCAGAGAAAAAACACTAGGAAACTCTCTGCTCTATCAACATTATTATTGGAAGGAAAATATGTCCTAACTGGAAAATATGTAAGAGGTGTAGAGTGGGAAGCATAGGCCTTGACGGAGAAGCATAGGCCTTCTGAATCAAAAGGTGTTAAACACTTACCTATAAAAATCTTATGTTTAATTTCTTTCCAATGCATAAAGTATTCAGTCCATTTATTTCTTTCTCTTACTATTTGATATAAAAAAGCCAACGTGCAAATGACTTATTACGAACTCTACATGCATTCTTCTTTCATAGTTTAGGGAAAACTGAGTTTTTTTAATGTAAAGTATATTAATTGCTTTAATTCATGAATTGTTCTTATAATAAACTCAAGATATTACCTTTCTTTTACTCTTGGATCTAGTGATAATAACCCTGGCTATTTAACTGCAGTTGCCTTGCAATGCCTAACTACTATTCTATAACAACTTTTCTATGAATATTTTGCTTTTGTAATATGGACAGAATGACAGAATTAACAAAAGGTACCTTTGAGGATCATCAGTTTCATACACAAAGGAAAAACATTGCTTTGCTAAAGTCGTGTTAAACTGAATGATTACAGTTCGAAACTATGAATTCCTTCCATGTCACAAATATGACTTCTTTATTACCTCTATTCCTATCGTAAAACCTTGCTTACAACTTAGGCACAGTTAATACTATATTAAGAAACAAGGAAGAAAGAGAGATAAGCAGTCACAATATAAGTTAAAACAATAGTGCAAATAACTTAGTGATATATTTGTTTCCTTCCCTTTATCCCCCAAATGACCCTGAATTAGCAGAAGTAGTGATTTTTCTCAAAAAAAATATGCATTATAAAAAAATACATGTATGTGGTGATCACATAAATTAATCTCAAGAGATATGAAAACTATTGTTTTGAACAGTCAAGAAAAAATTTTAATCTTAGGGACCAGCAGTTGGCACATAATGGCTGTGTCACTGGATTCCCATGTAGTCAACTGTGGTTCTAGTCCCACACATATTGGTTTAAACTCACGCTGGATGTGTGTGTGTGCATGCCCAAGATCCCAAGAGTAGAATGGAGGAGAAGGGATTGCGGCATGGTCATCCCCCCTGAGGGGTGATTTCTCACTTTCTGTCTCTGTCTCTCTCTCTCTCTTTCTGGCGAGCACACGCGCCCTATAGCAAAAACCTCTCAAAAAAAAAGAGAAGAAAAAAGAATTTTAACCTTTAAAAAATTAAATCTGGGGACCAGCAGGTGGCGTGGTGGTTAAGGTGCTGGACATTCCCATATGGCCGACCACGGTTCAAGTCCTGGACCTGGTAGCTTGCTTTCTCACTTTCTCTCTCTCTCTCTCTCTTTGGTCAAATTAAAATAATAAATGGATGAATAAATAAAAAAATAAATAAATAATTCTTTAAAAAAATTAAATCTGCTCTTCATTTGCTGGACTTTTCCTCAGGAACTACTGATAGAAATAGGTTGTGTGCAGTTAGTATTTTCAAGATAGCAGCTATAAAATCATCCTTTTGACAGATGCATATTGAACACCTGGTAAATACAGGAACTGAGCTGTCACACCTGGGTTTAAAGGGTATCAGGTTGTTAAATAAGGTGGTCAAAGTTAACCACATATTTCATAATCAACTACAGTCAGAAAAGTCCACGAGATTTCCAAAATGATTCAAGTGTCAAAGAGAGGTCTATATCTGTATTTTTATCGTAGCAAGAGATGGTATTTGTCAAAATATTTTTTGTTCTGCAGGAGGCTGCTTGGTGATGAGCCAGCCTGATGCTGACAGGTCTTGTAACCCACCGTGTAGTCAACCCCACTCATACTGTAGTGAGGTATGTGTAAATTCATTAGTACAGACAAGTTGACTTTGTCATTTGTCAACCCACTGCCTCTTATGCAATCCATGCCCCCTCCCCAAAAACTGTCTTGCACAACAATTCTATTTTTTAGACCTCTCCTTTAACAGTGTAAACAATTGTGAATATTATTGCTTTTACTTTTAAAATAACGTTGTGTATAACATTAGCAGTGTGTTCTTATTTATGTATACAGAAATTACATGTAGTAAGTCCCAAAATAATCCTTCCATAAAGCATTCTCTTCAAGTCAGGCCAATATACTACTGTAAACCTTGTTGTTCTCCTACAGACAAAAACATGCCATTGTGAAGAAGGGTACACTGAAGTTATGTCTTCTAACAGTACACTTGAGCAATGCACACTAATCCCCGTGGTGGTGATTCCCACCATGGAGGACAAAAGAGGAGATGTGAAAACCAGTCGGGCAGTACATCCAACCCAACCTTCCAGTAACCCAACAGGACGGGGAAGGACCTGGTTTCTGCAGCCATTTGGGCCAGGTGAAGTGACTAGACAGTGCTGATGTAAAATTCTTTAGTTATACATTTACCTAATGCCAAAGGCTTAGAAACATAAGCAAACATTTTCATGTGAGTTATTATTTCATCTACATGCATTTATTCTGACGTTGTCATCAATTCTTTTATTTTTCACTGTTATTGTGAACAAAAAAACACTCATGTGCAAAGCTTAAAGAATTAAATTACTTTCTTCTGAGAAAAACTTAGGATCAATATTACTTATTTTAATCCCAGTTTAAAGTTATAATGATGATAAAGTTCACATTGATCAAAGAAATGTAACAAAAATACAAATTAGGAAAAGCATGTTGTACTCAGAAGTGGGACAAATAAGCTAGTCAATACATTCTATAATTTTTAGTTAGACCCCAGTAAGAGTAATAGTTTTGAATCTTAAATAGAAACATGACTGATGCAGTCCTTTTTCAGGGGGCCCTTGGTAGGCATACCAATTTTGATCAGTCCTAAAGATGGCATACTCAAATACTTAAAATCTGTGCTGGCACCAAATATACAGGGCAGGGAAGGAAACTTCCTTTCTGGATGGGCTGATTCAAAGTTGGAGGCTGATCAGAGAGTCCTTTTTCATATTAAACAGATAGCTCTTAAAGTATTTAGTAGTTGACATAAAGCCAATAAAGGCAAAAGCTTGAAACCCTGATGAAATGCTATTCCCTTCTCTGTATGCTTTTTCTCCTTGGTTGGATTCAATCATAAGGTCATCCCTAGAACTAACCTGGTTTTTGAATATATTTTCCAAGGACTATATGGAAGCAAAAATCATGCCAATTTTTCTCATACCCTAGAGGAATTGCTAATTCATGACCAAAAGAAATCTCCAGGCAGAGCCAGGTGTAGACTGCTTTCATAAACTCCATTAAAAAGCACAAGAAAAGAAGGAAGGAATTTGCATAGCTAGCACCTTGTATTTTTAATGTGTAAGTCAAAATATTTTCCCCTGTTGACAAATCAGTATTGGATTTTTTAAAACTATTTTAAATATTTGGTGATTATCTTTTAACCACATTATTTCTGTCTTGACTAGGTTTTACCTGAAAATAGACTTATTTTACAAAGCTGGCTTGTCTTTATAAATATGGGAAGCTCTTCTTTTCTCCACATTCAACACAGTGGGCCAAAAAATGACCACTAACGATGTTGACCTTGACCAAGAACTTAAGCAGATCACCTTATATTAAAACTAGTTAAAAAAAGAAAAAGAAGAATATTTTGTCATTACTTTTCATTTAAAATATAGTTTCCCCAAAGTGAAAATTTTAGTTCTGAAAAATTGTACATACACATTCCCTGTTTTTGAAAAATGCAAAGCACATTTGTTGAAGAACTCTAAGGGAAGAAAAACCCAATTCTGTCCAATCTATAATTTTAACTCTAATATTATAAATTTAATTGTATATATGCAGTAGAAAATATATGTTGGTATGAGGACCAAATTTTTAGGCAATATCATTAATAGCATCTTGTGTTTGAAATTTATACAGAGCATTAAACTGTGAAATTCAAAAAGAATCAGAACAGAAAATCAAATTAGAAAAGGTCTTGTCATGTCTTATTTTACAGAATAGAAAATGTAGGAAAAAAATTTAAGAGATTACTTTAATATGTGTTAATCAAACTGGTTATTTTTGCAAATAATATTGTCAAGCCGATTTTAAAGAATGCTATAAGCATGTGCTAGATAAATGATTATTAGTTTCAAAAGGATGTTAAATCCATTCACTTTCATTTCATTGGGAACAAAAATGTCAAAATGCCTAAGTTTATGTTTAAATACCTATCTGCATCAACTCTAGGTGGTAAGACTTTATAAAATTGAATTACTTTTCATATTTTTATAGAATTACATTCTCAAAGTAGAGTTCTAAAAGAAAATGTTTATATAGCATTACACATACATCAAATTTGAAGTGAAATTCAAATAAGGAGCAGATGTTTAGACATACAAACTTGACAAATAAGCTCAAACAGTATTACTTTTCAATTCAATTTTCATTGAAAACTTATCTTTAATGAAGCAGCCTCTAACCTATAATAGCAGCTTTGCATTAGTCATTAACCATGCCAAAGTAATAATTCATTTTGTGCTTTTAAAGGAATCGGTCATGTGTGAGCGATCATTGGTCATAGTTAAAGGCTGTCATATACATCCCAAATGGATGCAAGGTAATAACTAATATCCATTCTTCTTAGATGGGCGACTAAAGACCTGGGTTTACGGTGTTGCAGCTGGGGCATTTGTGTTGCTCATCTTTATTGTCTCCATGATTTACCTAGCTTGGTGAGTGCTTAAATCTTTCAAAATCTAAGGGGATACATAGTGACTACTTCAGAGAAAGTCCTTTCAGTAACTGTAGCACAGAAAGAGCAAGCTAATGTCTTAAATAAGGATAATGAATTTATTTACCATTCACATGAAGTCTGAAATAAGTATGGCTTTAGTCTTAGATGGTCCAACAACTACCAAATCAGAGCCATGTGGTTTCTGAAGATGACACAGGGCCACTCTAGGTCTTTTTTTCAAGTATGTTCTACTGCAAGTATGGAAGATACAAGAGAATGTTGTTTTATGTGGACTATGGCGTGTTTTAGACTTTTTAATATTGAATACTTACTGGAGGAAGGTATGATGATAATGCCTAATTCAGCTATCTTTTTAAACAAGTGTTATTTGTAAGTTACATACCACTTTTAAAACTTTCTGGACAAATACAAATGATTATGCTATAATGTGACTTCTATTGTTAGTACGAAACTAATTTCACTTGGATAATTTATCATTATAGGATAGTAAAAAACTTGAAGTTTATTTATTCAGAGAATAAAACTGTGAAATTCAAAAGACCAGAACATTAAAATTATAAGTTTCTATTTAGATAATGTAGGCAGTTAGGAAACAGGTGTATCAATTTGTTTTGATTGTTTTTTCACTTAAAACAATGAAATTACAATTGAGGACTGATTTTATTTCTTCTGATTTTAATGTATGTTTTACAGCAAAAAGCCAAAGAAACCTCAAAGAAGGCAAAACAACCGACTGAAACCTTTAACTTTAGCCTATGATGGCGATGCAGACATGTAACATATAACTCTTCCTGGAAACAACCAGTGTAGGCTTTCTGATTTTGTATTAGATATCCAGAGGCCATAACAAAAATATCCAAACCGTGTGGAATAAAATTAGTTTTAACTTTTTAAAAGATCACCATAAAGACAAAGACTGAAAGTCGTACTGCCACTGGGAATATTCAAGACAGCACCACTTACATATAGACCATCAACCCTGAGAATCCTGGGAGATTTAGTTAAATACATGCTGCAAATCTGAGTATTTTATGTCATCATTTCTGAAGTCTACCAACTGAATAACCACTTTCATCTTTTAAAATTACTGGTGGGACTAGCAGGCTCTGCCTGATTGAAGACTCTTTGCAATGTTAACCCATAACTTTCTAGCATGAAGAGTTTATACCAAGATCTCTACAATATTATAGTCAAGCTTAACAATGCATACGCTTAATTGAATGAAACACATTATTACATCAGATTATGTACTTAATAATAAGCAATTTTAATGATGAATAAGAGATAAGCTCTAAGCTAGGAAAAAAATCCATTGAATGAATTTGGTATCTTGGTGGTTGATGGTAGCTTCTGTTGACTTGCATTTCAGAGACCAAGACTCTTTTATAAAAGACTTCCTTCTTGTCTCTTTCCAAAGTATGAATGCTGAACATCTACTAGTATCTTAGAAGAAAGAGTCCTCAACTTCAGTATTTTATAGTGGTTATTGTCTGAAAAACTAATTTGCTCGTGTTAATACATTTCTACTTTCTCTAATTTTCAAACTGGTTGCCTGCATCTATTTTGCTATATGGAAGGCACATTTTTGCACTATATTAGTGCACCGTGATAGGCACTTAACCAGTATTGCCATAGAAACTGCCTCTTTTCATATGGGATGAAGACATCTGTGCTAAGAGTGACATGGAGACTTTTGCAAGTTCTTATATCCTGAAGAGAGTAAAGTTCAGTTTGGATGGCGACAGGATGGAATCAGCTCTTACACCCGCTATCTACACTCTCCCGCATCACTGCAGCCATTGTGAAACCAACAACATGGTAGTAATTTAAGTGTTAAAATACCTAACATATTAACCCTCTAAAAGATGGATCCCCTAGTTGGTTTGTAATTGTTCTTTGAAGGCTGTTTATGACTAGATTTTTATATTTATTATCTTTGTTAAAAAAAAAAAGAAAAGAAAAGAAAAAAGGAACTGGTTGTCTTTTTAATTTTGAGCAGATGGAAAAAGTAATGTATTGCTGATTTTTATAACTGAAAAAAAATCGTGTTGAGTTTTGCTTCTCCCTAATTTGTTTTCCCAATTTCTGTCTCACAGACAATATTTCAGAATCCATAGTCTTTTGTTTTTCTTGATGGTAAAATCTAAAGCAGTCTTTTAATACATGATTTCAGAGATGGAAATTTTAAAAATAAAAGACTAAGTATATTTTCCAGGACTTCATTAAGTATTTAGGCAAAGGGTGGCAAACTTTTTCTATAAAGGGTCGAATAGATAGTAAATGTTTTAATCGGGATCTAGGTTGCAATTTTTCAGCTCTACCATTGCACTAATGCAACATAGTACCCATGAGGTAAAAGAATGAACATGGCTGATTTTCAGATAAAATTTTCTTTACAAAAAGTGCTAGCAGGCCACCTTTGCAGATCATGATATGCTGACCCCTGGTCTAGATGTTTTTGAATGCTAACTCTCCATTGTATCATCTTTTGTTTTCACTTATTTGCTTTCTGACTGTGATCAGTGTTTAATTTAAATGGTGAAATTTACAGTTTTTAAATTTACTACTGTATTAGAAGTAGCTATATTTTTCACAGATATAGCCCTGGGAGTGGCACAGTGGAACAATCTCTAATTTACCAGATATCTTTCATATAAAAAAAAATCAAAAGATGCCATTAAAAAGCAATACTATTTTTCAAGCAGCATTTATTGCAACAGACTTTAGCAGAGGGGAGGACATCGTGTTTTCAGTTCTTTTAAAAAGTAGTATAACAATCCAAAAGACAAACCAAAAATCTGTTTTATCTTAAGCATAGCTGTGTTAATATAGAAGTAGATTGGATTTTAAGGCATCTACCTGCATTCTGGAGTTGGAACTCCCCCTGCTGTTCATTACAGTATTTGCAGATTATGAAAGATCAGATTGGGATTTCATTGTCCCCAAAACGAAATATCTATGTATTTCAATAAGAACTATATGCACTAAACACTAATTCGTCATTCATTAGTCACTGTATCAGATAATGTAAATCATTTCAAAGAGAATAGATATTCAGGAAGATGAAAATTTTGCTTTAAACCAAGAATTTAAACAAGGAAAAACATAAAACCCGTTTCATCAGTATTATTGAAAAGGAAGAAAATATATTATTTTGAGTCTAAAACTGTGACTGTCAATGTAAATACTCAGGGGTCTTCCAGATATTCCTCAAGTTAATCTCTTTGTAAAAAATTAAATCCATTTGTCCAATACGGTTAAGAAAAATTCTACTATAGTTACTTTAGAAACTTAGCTAACAATAAAATGTGTGAAAAACCTAACAGTTTTAAATGTGGAGAAGAACAAAATAGTATTCCCACTAAAGCTATACCTAAGGTATTAATTCAGAGGGAAATAGGTATTGTCCTACCTATATTGTAAGAAGAAATTGAGTTAAGAGATACAAAATTGTAAAATGTTATGAAAACACGTGATGTTTTTATTCATAAAGTGATTACATTTTACAACAGAAAAGATTAAGTACATATGACCTATCACTAAGAAACACATTCAAAGTTCATTGTTAAGGTAGATAAATACTGGAAGGCCTCTTTTTTTGAAAAAAAAAAAAAGGTAGAAAGAAACAAATAGAGCTATTTGGCTGTTTTGGACAAATGGAAGGTTACTATAGTCATGTTTATAACATGAAAATGGCCTTAATTTCATTCCTGGCATGAGTCAATAATGAGTTAAATACTTTGCTGGAATTTCACCAAACCTTTATTCTTCCTGTTCATTCTAAGAATTCAGGAAGGGAATACAGTAGTAACTTGTCTATTGACACTTTTTGCCTTACCAATATGGTCTGTGAGCCCACAGGATTTAGAACTGCCATTCCATAACTGGGGAGATCTGCATGGTTTAAAAAAAAAATGAAAGAAAAGCATTGACTCAGTATTATATGATTTTGTTGGACTGTATTATTAGAAACCATAGGTTACAGAAGTGGAATAACTGATCTCTCTTGAAATGGACTGATTTTCCTATTTACCAATACCGAGTCCAGTCTATTGACTTTAATACTTACTTCAAAGCCTTTTTGAGGACACTACAGTGTAACTTAAGCTAATTGAAAAAGAGTGCATAAAAGCATGTTTTTGATTACTTATAACAAAGCACAAATTACTTATAACAAGACAAATAGTTACTGAATTATTACATGTATGACACTCTGCGTGGTACTGTAAAAAAAAATAGTAATGGCTTTTGTATTCATAGGTACCTAAGACACTCAAAAGAAGGAAAAAATACTTAATGAGTGAAGAGAGCATTTAAACATTTTGCCCTTTACTCTAGACTTGTCTTTATATGTGGTTAGAATTTTCCATGTGTAATATTAGGATCTGTTAGGATCACGCTTGTTAAGAGTTTGATTCTTTCCTACTCTATCATCAGGCAGGTAGCAACAGTCATTATAGTTTAACAAAACCCTGTTAAGTTGCTGTACATTTCAAGATAACTCACTTCTTGCAAAAAGTAAGTAGTATCTATCACATTTACTTCTATTCCCTGTATCCTTTATCTTTGATGATTATTTTTTCTCTGCCTGATCTCTCCACTCAACTCTTATGAATAGCTAATCTTGTCTCCTTTCCTCAGAACCATCTTCCACTACGTACACATCCAAACTTTTAATTAAAAAAATGAATACCTATATTTCCTTCCTATTGGAATCAAAGTGTCAGCATATGAACATCTTGATTTAAGCAGGATGCCCTGTTCAAATAAATTAGTAAAGGAAAAGGAAAGATGTGAAAAATAAAAACAAAAATAAAAACAAAAAAAACAGATCTTTTCTGTAAAAGTGTCAGTTCCTACACTTAACTTTAGTATTGCCTGGTATCCTCTTACTCCTACCTCCATCTTGAGTCTTTGTTCACTTCCCACCCTACAAAACAATAATGGACTGAACCTTTCAGTGCTATACAGAAATAAGAGCCTATTCTGGGCTGACTTGGGATCTGAATAGATTTGCAAGAGCCATACTTCCCAAATGGTCTCAGATCTCACTATTTATAAAAGTATTACCAAGTGAAAATGTGTTTCTTGTTCTATTTCCTCTCTACCATTGGGGATGTTGAAAGGACAGCAACCCATGAACAAATATGTAAGGGCTCTTGTCAGAGAGTGATCTTTCATGGGTCTGCTTTAGACATGAGAACTACATCTGCCCATTCTGATAACAGGCTCACCTGATCCTACCCTCAGGTTCCCTGGTCACAGGATTTCAGACATCTGAAACTGAGGTGTAGGCTTAGTTTTAGTTATTCCTTTATAAAAAGGATTTTCTGTAGTGTGATATGATAATCCTATCTCTAGCAGGGACACTGAAAATTGAAAATTGGTTGTCTAATTGGTTATTAAAACAACTGCTAAACAAATATAGTTAATTTTGTAGTATTTGTTTGTTTGTTTGTTTTGGGTACTTCTATTAAACCAGATCTTGAGATGGGTAGTAAATGAAGGATTTTAATTTCTGGGAGTCATGTTTTTAGTGGTCAAAAAATCTCTATTCTCTTTGAAATATAATTGGATGTCAGTTTTATTGTCATGTTTTGTATTTTTTTCTTTTTTTAGTAATGATTTCTAAATTATCTATTTTTAACCCTCAATGAACTTTCTTAACTATTTTTCAGAAATCTTCTTGTGTTTAATTTTAAAACATAAACATTAAGATTCTCTTTCTGATACTTTTTCTTGCCCATTTCTATAAAAGAAATTTGAAGAGATCAGTATCTGTCATTGTGAAATATAACTTTATTCTATTTTCAGTCTGTCTTTCTATAAATTATAATTCCCTAAATATGTATTTTTTTGTTAATTTAAGTACTCGAATATTTATTTTGTTTAAATAAGGAGGCAGCTGTCTAGGACTTTTTTGTTAATATTACTTTGTAAATTCTGTAATGTAATTTATTTTAAATTATGTACATTTCTTTTTTAATGCACAAAATGTCTATGTACAATTAACTACAGATTTACAAATAATGTCACTAAGCTTTATTCAGTTAATACAGATGGCATGTGAAGATGTAATATGCTTTTTTTACATTTTCATATGGGTTATTTGTAAATAGCTATATTGCTAATAAACATAAACATGGAAATCATTTTCATTCTAATCATGTGTATCTGTTTTAATTTACATCATTTGCTTCTTAAATATGGGTTAAAGATTTTTTTATTCAGAGAATAACTCTAAGTCCTTTAATGCTATATTGCCCTTTCCCAGGCCTTTTTTAACAACTCCAATTTAGAAAATTCAAGAGTTGCAAATTTTTACTTTAAAAGACAGCTGAGGCCACCAAATTAACCATTATGGACAGAAGACCTCTTAGTTTTCAGTAAACTGAAAGAGGGCACAGAGAGGATGACAAGACTCCAGGACAGAAAACAGTCCTCCTTGCTCCATCAGTCATAAGGCAAGCCTTCCCTGTCTCTTCTCCCTATGTGTACCCATGAAAGACCAAACCTAGAAGTTAAGGCAGGAACTCACACAATGACACACTCAGGAAAGGATATGCAAATTAGACAAATCACTGCCAGTTTGCAATGAAAACATTTTCTGAAATAGGTATTTGCTAGAGTATGCCTAAGAAGTTAACTCTTTAAGCTCTTAGTATATGAACCACTTAAAACAAGTAGCCAGCCTCAGACACTGAAAAAAGTGATTCTTAGTTTCCTTGTTTTCTGTGTTATTCCTTACAATGGAATCAAGATGAGAATATTTTAAATATTCCACCCAGATATTTCCCTCAATATATCTAAACATCATAGTCAAATCGATAACTTCTTTTTTTATTTTGCAACTCTAGTTTATCCTACAGACACAAATATGAACATGACTGCTCTACACTCTATATTTGCTTCTTCCATGTCCCTAGTGATTCCTTTCATTAAATTCAGAATATACTCTAAAGAACAGCCAACACATTTGAAGTTTTATCTCTTGTCGGTGTCAATTCTTCTGGAAAAGTATTATGTACATACAAAAATGCATAAATGCATCAAGCGTTCTGATATTGTAGTATTTCTCTTTGTTTTTCAGCTGACTTCCTCTCCCCTTTCACTTTCCTTCACAGCATCTCCTTGCCAAGACAACACAAGTTAAAGCTGTGATGTGTACTCTGTCCTATTTTTCTCCTTAATTATGTGAACATATAAACCTGATGATGGTAGAGGGATTGGAGAAAAATTAGTTGAATTTAGCAGTGCAATTAGGAAATTGGTTAGTGTTTGTTTATTTGTTTTTCCTCATTACTGTTTTCATGCACTGTAAAAATGTCCTCCCCTTGGCAAGACATAGAACAAATCTCATAGCTTTTTTGTCACTAGATGACACGGGAAAGTTCCAATCCAAGTTCAACAAAATATTTATCCCTCTCATTGTGTTCATTTCCTTGAATGCTAGCAAATTTGAGCAACCTTTCTTCTTTTGTATATACGATAGCTATATGGATTCAGTCTTCTATTACACATAATTTTTAAATGTCAATTCTGGTGATACCAATGTGGTTCCTCATTTTAGGCCAGCAACTAAATTTTAACTTTTCTAGAAAGTAAAAAAAATTTAAAAAAAAACTGATTCTATTTATTTCCCCACTACCTATACTTCTTTTCTTTTCTTTTTTTAAATTGGGAGCAGAGGCGCTCTGACAAAGGCCTGTTTCCATGAGAATTGCAAAGCTGGATACTCTCTCTGTCCCAGCTCACTTAAGCTAGTTATAAATGCTCACCCTCACTCGCTAATGCTACTTCTTGAGCACCAGGTCACATGTATTTAATTAAATGAACAAAATCCTTGAAGAAGGGTCCTAAATGACTGCCTTTCAGTTTAACAAGGAGTGCAGCAGCCATTTGCAGACTGGAGGGGATTACTAGCGTTCTCTATGTTTCTGGGAAAACCTCAAACTGCACATTTGCACTTCTGTTTCTGAAACATTGGGCTACAATTTGACTCAACCAATCAGAAATGAACAAGTTTGAGTCCTTCACTGGCATAGAGGACCTAAATGGAAACCTTAGTAGGAACTTTTCTTTAACACTAAGCCCTCTCTTTGTTCCTCTCTGAGTATGCACTGAGTTTAGGCTGCAAGCTGTCTTCCCAGTGTGCAAACTGTTACCAAAATAATCTCTTTCACTCTCCAAATTTCTTTTCAGGAAATTTTATTGGCACAAGCAAGTGATGAAGCAGGGTCCCAATCTCTATTAAAATGACACACTTCATATAAAGTTTGGTCTTTCCAATTACCTCTACCTAGAACACTTTACCTTTCAATACCTCTACATGGGCATGGCTGTTCCTTCATTTCAAGCAGGTATCTGCTCAAATACCACCTCCACTTAGAACACTTCCTGGGACACTCTGTCCCTCTCTATTCTCCAATCCTTCTTTAGTTTTCTTAATACTATACATTTTTTTGTTTTCTGTTTTTTTATCCTTTCCACACATGGGACAGCCAGTTCTTTTATCATTTTTTTTTGCCTGAAATGATACTCAACACATAATAAGAATAATAAATTTTATTGGAATAATAAATTAATTAAAAAATTAAATCACATGGTTTATGGATAAAGCACTGTTGGGATAAATAGCAGATCAATAATAAAGAGGCCACTATGGTGAGGCAAGCAACTAATTCCTCCAATGCTTAAAGTTGTCAGTTCTCCACTGTTGTCAATATGTCTTATATTTGTTTCACTTAACTTTAAGTAAAGTATGTTAAACTCCTCAGGAGGCACAATGTCGTGACATGCACAGAACAGTTGCAGAGCATTGCATAAATACAAGAGTGACTGAGACAGGCATCACAGAGGAGTGACAGCAGAGGATATTCCAGCAAAGTGTGGGCCTTGCAAGCTTGCACATCCATATTGAAAACAGGGTTTGTAAAAGAGTGAATTATATTATAGCTCTCTCTTCATTTAATTATGCAGGAAATTCCAGCATAGCAGGTGCAGGATTTCACATTAATGAAAAATGAGGAAAAGGACAATTGCAAATATCTAAAAACCCTTATTCCAGAATACAGAAACAGTACAATTATAAGATTCAGTCTTGAAATGAATAAATTTATTTTATGGTGTCAGTAATAATTAAATGATATCCTATTTGGCTTCAAAGTTGAAATAAAAGAGAAAAAAGAAGAATAAAATGAAAATTCAAAAGTGTTTCCCAAATTCCCATGATTTTTTGTTTGTTTTTTTTTGAAAAACAGACTGGGACATTCATCAACCATGTAGACACAATAGGCCATTTAAAATCCATGCCTTGTTAAAAGCAATGTCTTGATTTCCTTGAGAATTGAAAAGAATTTCGGAAGCTGAGTCAGCTTGTAAAACCAGAATGTAAGATGGAGGAGAAAATGGGACCAGCAGTTAGCATAATGGCTATGTTGTGGACTCCCATGTAGTCAACCGTGGTTCGAGTCCCGGACCCACTGACTTAAACTCACGCCGGTGACCTAAACTCACGCCGGGCGCATGTGTGTACGTACCCAAGATCCCAAGAGGAGAATGGAGGAGAAGGGACTGCGGCTTGGCCATCCTCCCTAGGGAGGGGTGATTTCTCGCTTTCTGTCTCTATGTCTCTCTCTGTCTTTCTGGCGAGCGCATGCACCCTGTAGCAAAAACCTCTCCAAAAAAGAAAAAAAAAGATGGAGGAGAAAATGAACATCTTTAGAAGGCTGCATAGGCCTGCAACCCAGGCTTTGGTAAACACAGTGTGTTTTCAATTTATCTTTATAAAAAGTTCACTTAATTATAACACTTATCACTTTTTACAATATCTTTGCCAAAGGTCTGTAAGTCTCTCTTCTTATGGTATTAACCTACTAACTATAGGGAAATGGTTTATAAAAATATAAATCAAGAAGTATCCCGGCAATCAGAGGCATAGTGAATAGGACTGTGATCTGATACTTGTATAAACGATCCTTAAAAATTAATAAGGCCAAGCCAATGGCATGATGGTAAAGGCAGGAGGATCCGGCATGGCGAATTTTATAGTTCGTTCAGGTTCCAGACCCCAAGGCTTGAAAAATACGTCAGGCACGTGTGTGTGCATGCCTAAAATCCCAAGAGGAGAATGGTGGAGAAGGGATTGAAGTGTGACCATTCCCTCTAGGGGATGATTTCTCACTTTCCCTCTCTGTCTCCCTCCACAGAGTGCACATCACTATAGCAAAACAAACAAACAAAGAAA